GACCTGGAGAAATGGAAGAATAAACCTGCTCATGGATAGGAAGACTCAATATTGTGAAAATGACAATACTACCAAGGACAATTTACACGGCCAATGCAATCTCAATACAAATACCAATCCCATTTTTCACAAGATGGAAAAGGCAATCTCCCGTTTCATTTGGAATGGAAAGAGGACCCGAATAAGCAAAGCACTCCTTAACACGTTGCCACAAATGACGGTAATACATAAAAAAAAAAAAAGTGTTTCTAAGCACAGTCGTCAATTTAAAAGTGTGCAGCAACGTGTTAAAAAGAGAAACAAGGTAGAAGGCATCTCACTCCCTCATTTCAAATTCTACACTGCCATGGTGATTAAGATAGAATTGAGAACCTGGAAATCAGCCCATCTACCTATGGTCAACTGATTTTTGACAAGGAAATGAAATCAGTTAGTGGATAAACAACAGCCTTTTAAACAGATGATGTTGGGAAAATTGGAAAATGATCTGTAGAAAACTCAAGCAAGATCCACACCTCACTCCATACACAAAAATCAACTCAACATGGATCAAAGACCTAGGACTAAAGCCAAGGACTATAAACTTAATTACAGAAAAGATTGGAAGAACTCTAGAAGCCCTAATTCACAACATAATCAGTCTTACATGCATCTTGAAAAATCTACAACCAATAAAGGATAAAATACATGAATGGGACCTTCTAAGAATCAAATCCCTGTGCACATCCAAAAACTTCTCCAACAGGGTAAAAAGGGAAGCCACAGACTGGGGGAAATTATTTGGTAATGACATGTCAGACAAGGGATTTATATCTGGAATTTATAAAATACTCAAGCACCACAACAAGATAAAGGTAAACAACCCAATTGAAAAATGGCACAGGATATGAACAGACACTTCACCAAAGAAGACATTCAGATGGCAAACAAACACATGAAGAAATGTTCAAAATCCCTAGCTCTAAGAGAGATGCAAGTCAAAGCAACTATGAGATATCATCTCACCCTAGTAAGAATACCAGAATTTAATAGAAGAGCAAACATCAAATGCTGACGAGGTTGTGTAGAACCTGGAACCCTTATTCACTGTTGGTGGGAGTGTAAAATGGTGCAACCACTATGGAAGGCTGTATGGCTCTTTCTCAAAAAGTTGAAAATAGAAATACCACTTGACCCAGCAATTCCACTACTGGGAATATACACTAAAGAAACCATAATTGACATCCAAGCAGATATAGCACACCTGTGTTTAATCTCGGCTTTGTTTACAATAGCAAGGAGTTGGAAACAACCTAAATGCCCATCAGCAAACGAATGGGTAGAGAAGCTGTGGCATATTCACACAATGGAATACTATGCTGCATTGAAAAACAGGAATCATGAATTATACAAAATGGGTGACCCTGGAGGACGTTATGCTGAGTGAACTATCTCAGTCACAAAAAGACAAATACTGCATAATGCCACTGCTGTAAAGTGGGACTGATATCAGGGTTGCGGGAAAACTAAGAAAAGAGGGGATAAATAATGTATACTGAATTAAAATAGGTAAGGGAGAGAACTATTTGGAGGAATATATGATGAGTTATTATTGTCATGACAAGAGTCCAGAATGAAAAAGAAAAGAAAAGAGTCCAGAATGAAAGCTGCATAGTGGAGTGGACTTGGAAGGTGGGAGGAGATTGTATAACAATGAAATTTTTTTTCTTTTCACAGCTTTCAGATGTGTATTGAATGATTGAAAAGATCTTGGCATGACTTAAGTGCACCTTAGGCTTCAAATGTACATCACTGCCACCGAGTAATTTGGAGGGGTCTTTGGCAGCAGATTTGTTCAGTGCAAGATTTTTTTTTTATAGAATTTACTTTTTTAGTGTGTGTGTGTGTGTGTGTGTGTGTGTGTGTGTGTGTGTGTGTGCCATCAAATCAGATCTGACTGGTACAGGAGGAGATTGCCCCTCTTTCCTTGGCAGAGCATCTGGGTGCGCCCCCGGGATTGCAGTGCAGCTTCTTGCCACTAGGCCACCAGAGCTCCCTAGCAAGATTTTTTTTTTAATTTATTTTATTTCATTATTTTTGTGTGTACCATCAAATCAGATCTGACTGGTACAGGAGGAAATTGTTCCTCCTTCTCCAGCAGAGCATCTGGTGGATTCGAACCGTGCATCTCTGAGATTGCAGTTGCAGCTTCTTGCCAGTAGGCCACCAGAGCTCGCTGCAAGATGTTTCTTGATCTCTTGACTGCTGGTACCAAGGAAGTAGCATATAATTAAGAACCAGTGGTACTTAAGAGTCTAAACTTCACTGAACGAACAAATCTGTCTTCTGAGAAGTAAAGCCAGAATGCTCCTTTAGAAGCAAGGATGATGAAATTTCATCTCATGTACTTTGGACATGTTATGAGGTGAACCAGCCCTTGACAAAGAACAGTATGTTGGGGGGGGGGCGTTTCCAGGAATTGCTATTTCAATACATTAAAAGTGCACACTTAAAGAAATTTGGAAGACAGCTACCTGGCAACCAACTGGAAGAGATCCATATTTATGCCTATTTCAAAATAAATCAAAACAGTGATAAAACCGAATTAGCACTTATTGACCAACATCATTAATATCACATACAAGTAAAATTTTGCTAAAAATCATTTAAAAACTGTTGTAGCAGCATATCAAAAGAGAACTGCCAAAAATTCAAGCTAAATACAGAAGAGGCGATAGAATGAGGAATATTATTGCTAATAGCAGATGAATCTTGGTTGAAAACAGAAAATACGAGAAAGATGTTTACCTGTGTTTTATGGACTATGGAAAGGCATTCAACTATGTGGTTCATAAAAATTATGAAGAACGTTGAGAAAAATGGAGGTTCTAGAATATGTAGTTAGGGTCATGCAGAACCTGTTTGTAAAGAAACCAAGAGGCAATTGTTCAGACAGAACAAGGACATAGGACATACTTTAAGATCAGGAAAAATGTGTGTCAGGGTTGTATTCTTTCACTATATTTATTCATTCTTTATGGTGAGTAAATAGTCCTAAAAGTTGGACTTTATAAAGAATGGGACTTTAGGACAGGAGAAAGACTCATTAACAACTCACAATATGCAGAGATGATGCATCATTGCTTTCTGAAGACAAAGAAGACTAGAAGCATTTACTGGTGGAAATCAAAGACTATAACCTTAGATAGATTACACTTTGATGGGGGGAAAAAAACCCCAAAATCTTCACAAGTGGGTCAATAAGCTGAATCACAATGAACTAGAAAAGATTGGAGTTATCAAAGATTTCATTTTACTTGAATCCGCCACAATCAGAGACCATGGAAACAACAATCAAAAATTGTATTCCATTAGGAAAACATGCTACAGAAGGCATTTTTAAAGTATAAAAAAAGCCACGATGTCACTTAGAACTAAAATGTGCCTGGCCAAGTTACAGTATTTTCAACTATCTCATAGGCCTGCAAAAGCTGGACAGTGAGAAAAGGAAACTAAAGAATTACTTCTTTTGATAATGTTGACAAACAAATACACAGTGTACTATTGAAAGAATGAACACATCTGTCCTCTGAGAAGGAAAGTCAGAATGTTCCTTAAATGCAAGAATCATCTCATGCACTTTGGATTTTATCAGGTGAACCAGCCCTTGATGAAGAACATTATGTTTAATAAAGGGTTAGTGGTAAAGGGGGACCTCCAGTGAGGTGGACTGACACAGCGACTGCAGTAGTTGACATGCCACAGTCTGCAGATGGGGTAGGACTGGACAGTGTTTTGGTCTGTGCATAGTGGGAGGAGGACCTCATGCACTTGCTGCGAAGGGTCAAGGACTGCAGCCTTCAGTATGGACTAAGGCTCAATGTCAAGAAGACAAAGATTCTCGCACTGGACCAATTGGCAGCATCAGGATGGATGACGAAGAGATTGAGAGTGTTCACAGCTTCAGTTTGCTCGGCTCCACAGTCAACACTCTTGGCACCAGCAGTCAGGAAATCAAAAAGCGTATCGCGATGGGAAAGTCTGCTGTTAGGGACCTCTCTAAGGTACTCAGGAGCAACAGTGTCTCTCTGGAGACTAAGGTGCGCCTGGTACAGGCCATGGTATTTGCAATCGCTTGTTATGCATCAGAGAGTTGGACAATGACTAGGGAGGACAGAAGGAGAGTGGATGCTTTTGAGCTGTGGTGCTGGAGAAGGGTACTGAATGTACCCTGGACTGCCAGGAAAACAAACAGATTCATCTTGGAGAGGATTAAACCAAGCTACTCCTTGGAGGCAAGGATTCTGGGGCTTCGTCTGACATACTTTGGACATGTTGCCAGGAGGGACGGGTCCTTGGAGAGGGACATCATGGTTGAGGGACAGCGCAGGAGGGGAAGACCCTCTATGAGATGGATTGATTCGGTGACTGGGGTAATCGGGATGGGTGTGTCAGAGGGGGTGCGGTTGGCGCAGGATAGAGCAGGGTTTAGATCTGTTGTGCATAGGGTCGCTATGAGTCGGAAACGACTCGACGGCACATAACAACAACAACTACAACAACATAGTGTCTGTGAGGCTGAACCAACTTGATAATACCTAACAACAACAAAAACGAAGAACCTCTCTTACTACTGTTGTATCTCCAGTGTCTGGTGTGCAAATATTTGTTGAATAGCTAAATATATGTTAAATGGATGGCTGAATAAATAAACAAATGAGTCCTATTCTTCACTCCTATAAAAGTGAGACTAGGTTCACTTTAAAGTGTTCTGTGACTTAATCACCTGATTCCTGAAGTTGCTTCACTAATTTTTTGATAGTGTGTGTCACTTATGTTATGAGGTAGGAATGGAGAAGGAGGAAAGCTGTGAACTGAGAGCTAACTTATCTTCCTCAACACTGTTTTCTCTGACCTCCTGCTTTCCTCATATGACTCTTTATCCTACGTTTACTTAAGTATATTTTCTCCTCCTTGTTTGTTCTCAGGGTTCCCTGGAGTATTCAGAAACTGGTTCCATCATGGCGGAACTCAAGGTGGAGCCTCGGGTGGGTGTGGACTGGCAGAAGCGTTGCCTGGCCCTGGAGACTCAGCTTCTCCGGTTCCGCCTACAGGCTAGCAAGATAAGGGAGCTGCTGGCTGACAAGGTGAGTCCCAGAAAACAAGGAGTTGCCCAATTTATTACAAAGATCTATATTAGGGGAGGAGAGCTGGGGAAGGTGGATTTTAAAGAAGAGACTTTTCCATATGCACAAAATGAAACCCCTAGTGAGCTTCACTTCTCCCAAAGACCAAAGTCTGAGCAGTTTACTAATGTCATCTTCCACATCTCCCCTCTCAAATGCTCCTTCCGAGGACTTACCTAAAGCATTACAAATCTCTTGTTTCCTCTATCACCCAGCTTGTGCTAGTGGCCGCAATGGAGGTTCTACCGTTCCCTTAACATTTATTCCTTAGTATGAAAAAGGAGGCTGTTTGAAGAGAGAAGAATGAAAATATCACCCTCCTGGCCTCTCTCGATTGAGGTCAGGGTCATACACTTTGGAGTTACCTGGCTCTATTGTGACCATGGGCAAATTCCTTCACCTCTAAGGCAAAAATCACAAAATGGAGACTTTTTAGAGTTCATTTTGAGACTCATGAGGTCATATATATAAAGGTTCTGGCATGGAATGGATTCTTAGATGGGAACAATTTCTAGATTGTATAGACTTTGGTGGGCTGATCTGGGAAAACTGAGCACCATTCCTAATGTTTCTATGGGATCTTACGTTCCAAATGACTGACTTGCAGAGGTATTTTAGAACATACCCTATCTGGAGAATGGAAACTTTCACTTTATATGTCTGTATTGAAAGTAGTCAGCCCTTCTTTTCATACTTTTGTTTAGAGTATCCATCTATTTAGCAAATACTTCTTTTGTGGTTCAAAGGTAAGATTTAGCCTACACATTTCCAAATAACTTCAAGGTCTTTATTAGTCAGGCCTGAATATGTGATCTGCTGTATTGATAGCCTCCAACCCTGTTTCCCAGAAAGATAACTCAGCGGAGTCACCTCTGCATTTTCATAGCTGAAGGGAGTGGCCTTGGACTAACCTGGTCTAAAACTTGTGAAACCTGGATCTACTGGCAATGCAATCTCCTAGTTCAGGCCTTGCAAAACAAGACCATCAGGGTTCATGTGGATGCCTCGAGGTAGTTTAAAGGAAAGGAACTCAAGAAAAGGAACACACATTTTCAAAACTTGTTATCAAAGTGTGGTCCTGGGACGATCTGCATTACTTTGAGCTACTTCAGAGACTTAAACATGGTTTTTTTTTGTGTTTTTTTTAAATTTTATTTTATTTCATTATTTTTTGTGTGTACTGTCAAATCAGATCTGACTGGTACAGGAGGAGATTGTTCCTCCTTCTCCAGCAGAGCATCTGGTGGATTTGAACCGTGCACCTCTGAGACTGTAGTTGCAGCTTCTTGCCACTAGGCCACCAGAGCTCGCCTGAGACTTAAACATGTTAATTCCTGCAACCCATCCCTTTTCTCTTGATTCAAGTCTCCATTGGTACTCGTAATAATCAGTATATTTAACAAGCTCCCAGAAAATTGTTTTGTAGAATATAAAGTTTGAGAGTCTAGCCTTAAGATCTGGTATTTGGAGGAGAGGAGCAAGGAAAAGAAGGGATAAACTGATTGAGCCAGTTAGTCTCAAACAAAATAAACATAATGTCCCCTACTTTAGAAAAGACTTAGACATATACTGAATTAAATTCTTAAAACATCCTTTTAACAGATGCAGAGCTGAACACTGAAAATAGTAAAAGACTTTTTGGCGGGACAAAACTAAAAGGAAAGTTCAGAATGGTGCTTTACTGTGGCACATGAGCAGGGCAAGGTGAGGTGGCGGCCTCCCATCAGAAATACAGGCTTTGCGATTTGTGTTTTTATGTCTGTGGAGACAGAGGTGAAGTCTGATCATTTGGAGGCTAGAGGTGAACCAGAAATTTACATTTAAAGTCCATTTTAGGTATCAAAGTCCGATGTAGGCTTTCCTTATATGAAAAGTCAGATGAGGAAAAGAAAACTGTCCGTTAGCACAAGGAGATGACAGAAAAGATCTTCTTTCTCTGCATCCCCACAGGTCTGTATAAGTTAAAAATCCATAATATCTGCTCCCTCTCTTTTCTTCAAGGCTGTTTTATTTATTTACCATTGATTTATATGTGTATGTGTATATATAAAAATACACATATACAAATATATATAACAAAACTTTTGTAAAAATCATCTGAGATCAATCATCTATATGAGACCAACTAGTCTATTGTTACTTTAAAACACAGGTGAGCTGGTAAGGGAACAGAGAAAATAAAGTCATGAAAACAGAGCAACCAGAATGGAAATGTTCTCCACATTATGGAGAATGCAACCATGGTCACTCAACAATATGTATGGTAATTGAATGGGAAAATAAACTGTTATGAAAACCTTCACTGAAAACACAATATAATAACATTTAAACAACAACCAAAAATCATGATTTCTGTTTTTTCTTTTAATTTGCACAATGCAGCGAGATTAATTACATTCATCATGTTAAACTAACCACCACTACAATCTGTTTCCAAATTTTTCATTACCCATAACAGAAACTAAGTGCTAAATGCTTCCGAGGCAATGACTTCCCTTCTCCTCTTCCATCCAACCCCTGGAAACCACTAATAAACGTCAGTCTCTATATATTTTTCTGATTCTAGATATTTCCTATAATATGATATATCATTATAGTAATAATATTTCTATAATTTCTATAAAATTATGTTAATAATATTATACAATATAATAATATAATATGATGATACAATACTTGTGACTGACTTATTTCACTTAGCATGTTTTCAAGGTTCATCCAGAACTTCATTTCTTTTGTAGCTGTTGTTGTTAGGTGCCATCAAGTCAGCTATGACTCGTAGTTGACCTATAAGCAACAGCTAGGAACCTTTCTGTACCCTGCTCCATCTTCACAATCTCTTCCATTCTCATATTCACGGTTGTAGCAACTGTGTCAGTCCATCTTCCCGAGAGCCTTTCTCCCATTTGCCAATCCTCCATTCTTCCCAGCATGAAGTCTTCTTCCAAGGACTGGGGCCTCCTGACAGCATGTCTAAAGTATGTGAGATGGAGTTTCACGGTCCTTGCCTCTGTGCAGTACACCCTGGTTGCACTGCCTCCAAGATAAATTCATTTATTCTTGTGAAAATCCATTGGATAGCCAGTGCTTTTTCACCAGCATCACAATTGAAAGGAATCCATTCTTCTGTGATTTTGATTTATTGTCAAACTTTCAGATATGAAACAATTAAAAATACCATGGCTTGTGTCAAGTGCACTATAGTCTTTAAACTGACATCCTTAAGCAACTTTAAAGAGGTCCTTGAGAGCAAATTGCCCCAGTACAACACATCTTTTTCTTTTTTTGTTTAATTTTTTTTTTTTTTTATTTTTTTTTTA